CACAGTGATTCACACACTTTACTTACGGTGCCTAATGTTCGCTTGACTCAACTATCTCTATCTTCAGTCTATCTACATATCTATCTATATCGCTGGCTTTCTTTGCCAGGCTTATATACTAAAAAAGAGGGCGTCTAGCAAACACTCGGACATTCGCGGGGTTCCCCAATAATTCTAGAAACTCCAGCGCGCATGCTCCCAGCGTCACGCGACTTCCGCTGTCGTAACAGTATCTTCTAAAGCAACAAGAAACATGTTCTTAAATATTATTCTTATGATGGAGTTTCTTGGAATCCGATAGTTACAATAATTGCAATTTTGTTTTTGTGGTTTGATTAAATACAGAATCTAAAAGTTTGGTAACTTATTAGTTAGAATCTTAAAAGTATTTTACAATTTAGTAATTATTTGTATTTTTACTTAATGAAAAGAAAAATATATTAATGTCCAAAGTTTGTTGTTACTAAACGTTTGAGGCTTTGAAATCCTGTGGATGAAGAAAATAGAACACATTAAATAGTTACAGAAATACGTGTATTTGTATTCGTTTATTTTCAAATACAATTACTTAACCTGTGTGACATACATACGAGGTTCCCCGGTGAGAAAAAGGTAAGTCTATGGACTTACAACGCTAAAATCCGGGGTTCGATTCCCTCTCGGGGGACGCAGCAGATGGCCCAAGAAGTAAACTTACTATATATGAGCTCGCGTATATATTATACATGAACATGCTCTGTACTGTTCATTCTCGATGTACCCACCTATGCTTATGTTCACTTTTCGTTCGTTGATTTTTAATACGTTGTTCTAAAAAGTTCGCGAGTAATGGGATTTTATTTTCCGTTGGTACTGTAAGTACACATAGGATTTTAAACATTTTACACGAGAAAATTGTAATTTCTGTAAGTATTGTGAATTTAAAATCTGTGGGGCGGAATTACAGAATTCCGCTGAGACTATTCTACAAACGTATTTGGGCCAGGCGTTATTTGTGGTTAGCGTGCTTTTATTGTGAATACGAGGTTTCGTGGTTCGCTAGCCGTTGCCCCCCAAAATGCATTTTATACTTTGGGGGGGGGGGCGTGTGCACTATAAAAGTGATGGTTAAACACTGCTTATTATGAGATCAACTGTTCATCACAATTAATTTCAAAATCATATAAAATGAAGAAAGGGGTTTTAATTAAAATATGTTTTTGTTGATATCTTGCATTCATTTTTTTTGCCACTGTAATTTGATTTCACTTATTAATTAAGGTTTCGGTTCAAGACACCCTCAATTATGCTCTCAAAATTCATCATTCTGATTAAAATATTATAATTAAAATTAACTTAACTAGAATGATTGCTTGGTTAAATTTCAGTTACGTGGGATGAGGAGATCAGTTCTATACAATGAGAGAAGGAACGTGTATGGATTCACCACTGTTTACTGGCCACCATACAAAAAGGACGAAGGACTCAGAAGAAGGTACTGTAGCCCCAATCTCTTTGGCTTTGCTACGTGACGTCACATTTGTGACATGGCCACATGGTAGAAAAACTTCTTTTTTTTTTTACGTTTCTACCTGAACTGGACGCACTGAACAAAAAGTGACAGTTTACAATGGATATTTAGACTGGTGAAACCATTCCTTTTTTAGATGTACTGACACATAGACAGGTAGGTAAGTACTACGATTTACCGAGAAACTATTCATACAAATAGATACATGGATTACACATTGTCCCATCCACCACCATTAAGTCAGGAACGTATATATATGACCAAGATCACCTTTTAGACTGAACTCAACATGCCAATCTGTATCATCAAGCAATATCTGTAACAAGGAACTAACATCAGAACAACAAACAACCCTGTTGAATCCCACTCCGACACAACCACGACTCAACGTTGAGACCTCAATTGTATTCGACTAAAATGTTACAACCTTTATCACAAATGCTAAAACACGAATACCACCAACGCATCAAAATAATATGGTGTGCAAGAGCGACCTGTGTGTGTGTTAAAGTCTATGTAGGTGGAAAGAACGCCTACCGTACATATGATACAAAGAACATGCACAAGTCCATTTTAATTACAGGTCCGACTTTCTGGAATGTTCTAAAATGTGACAAGCTCTCACCCATAGAAGAAAGGGAAATAATAGCGAAAGCCACCAGTGTAAGTGGTTTGGTTTGTTTTGAATTTCGTACAAAGCTACACGAGGGCTATCTGCGCTAGTCGTCCCTAATTTAGCAGCGAAAAACTAGAGGGAAGGCAACTAGTCATCACCACCCACCGCCAACTCTTGGGATTGAGCGTTACATTATAACGCCCCCACGGCTGAAAGGGCGACTATGTTTGGTGGGACGGGAATTCGAACCCGCGACCCTCAAATCGTGAGTCGAGCGCCTTAACCATCTTGCTATGCCGGGCCTTACCAACATGAACCCGAAATCAGATGTTGGACACCCACTGTAAATGCTAGATTGAGGAAGCTTTTTACATAATAAAAGCTCAACGTGGTCTGGGTAACGGGTTTAACAGAGAGTGTGATTTAATTATAAACCTTCTTTGGAATTACTTTTTTTAGTTGTTTCAAGTATTGAATCCATTTTTAACTGCAGTATATAAAAGAAACAAGATGAAATCCTCAATAGCCGCGGCACTTGAAATTCTTTTAGGCAGGATTAGATTAAATTAATCTATGAGATCTTTTTTCAATTTTTATTAGCTATATTTTTGTGCGCCAGCAATACCAAGCGTGGGGCGCGTGTATACATGAATCAATTTTATTATTCATTGGCATCTGTACCAGTGTACCCTCAAATTGAAATTATTTTAGGCAGGATTAGAGTAAATTAACCTATGAGTTTTTAGACCTGGTAAAATACATCAATCGAAAGGGTTTGATCTCCTGAGTTTAGCCCCCAGTGGCACAGCGGTATGTCTGCTGACTTACAACGTCAGAATCCGGGTTTCGATACCCGTGATGGGCAAAGCACAGATAGCCCATTGTGTAGCTTTGTGATTAATAACAAACAAACAATCCTAAGTTCAAAACTGTAATTAGATCTTAAATCTCTCAAGAAATGACGGAGCTATGAGCAAAAAGTTTGTTCTTGGAAAAAAAACAACAAGAAAAAAACAAAAACTCAGAGCCGTTCTATGAGCTGCTTTACCGCGGCTAAAAGGGGGAAAAAACATGCCAGCAAAAAATGGTAAATGATAAATGTTCTCAACGTTTCGGATTAGGCCACCCTTTCCTCTGATGATTTTAAACTTTGATGTAACAAGATCTATTGTATCATGCTCATTAGAAACGTTCTGTTGTGAAAATTAAAATATCTCCATATCATTTACCATTTTTTTGTGGTGCAAGTATTTTCCTCTGTTTTGTTTTCAATTCAATTTTACAAAAGCGGTTTTTATCTTAACTTTCCAAATGTTCTTAAGATATTATTATATGTATTTTTTATTTTACGTTTACGGTTTAATAAATTTATTAGATGATAATTGTGACGTAACTCAGTTATGTGACGTTGTTGTCGTCGACAGTCTTTTGGATAATATATAGAAAGAAAAGTCAAAGACCTCTAGGGTACGATTAAGTTAACAACAGAAAATGGGAAAAACAATCTTATACCACCCACACACACACACACACAAAAGGTAAATGATAAATAGGTGTTTTACTGTTCACAACGTTTCGGTTCGGGATGCCCTTCCTCTGGCCATTTTATTCTATGATAGAACAGAAGGTTTGATACCAAAAAGGTTTATCAAAGAACGACGTTCGAATTAAGAATTGTACGAAAGATGTAAAGAAGCATACACGTGAATCACTATTATTTCAAAATTAGGATAATATCAATACATACATACACACACATATATAATTATTTATATAAATTTTACTTGTTTACTTGTTTGTAATTAAGCACAAAGCTACACATGGGCTATCTGTGCTCTGCCCACCACGGGTATCGAAACCGGTATTCTAGCGTTGTAAGTCCGTAGAAATACCGCTGTGCCACTGGGGGTGGCTTTTATATAAATAATTAACAATCGAGGTTTCAAATATATTTAAATATTGTTTTGCATCGATATCATTTAATTTAGACATTTCGAAAATTAAAAAAACGACCTTTATTCTTCAGGTAATGGCATGGCCAGGTGGTTAAGGCACTCGACTCGCAATCTGAGGGTCGCGGGTTCGAATCCCCGTCACACCAAACATGCTCGCCCTTTCAGCCGTGGGGGAGTTATAATGTGACGGTCAATCCCACTATTCGTTGGTAAAAGAGTAGCCCAAGAGTTGGCTGTGGGTGGTGATGACCAGCTGCCTTCCCTCTAGTCTTACATTGCTAAATTAGAGACGGCTAGCGCAGATAGCCCTCGTGTAGCTTTGCGCGAAAATAAAAAAAACAACAACAAACAATCTTCAGATAATAATAATAATAATAAATGCTTTGTATTTTTCAGCTCACATTTCGTCTCTGCGGTTATATCGGGGCTAGTAGTACAAGAAAGTTTGTTTGTTTCTAATTAAGCACAATGCTACACAATGGACTATCTGTGCTCTGTCCACCACGGGTATCGAAACCCGATTTCTAGCGTTGTAAGTCCGCAGACATACCGCCGTGCCACTGGAGGGTAGTAGTAGGAGAAACAATTTTTGGTATTACTAGCCCTGATGAAGCCGCAATGGCGAAACATGGGCTGAAGTAAAAAGCTTTATTATTATTAGCTGGAGAGTAAAGACTGTTTTTTTCTTTCTAACTTTATTGCCCAAATGTCTAAATCCCTCCAGTGTGCATTACAAATTCTGAAAAGAATCATTTGATTAATTTTTAGTTAGTTATTTTTCTCTCTAATGTATTCACACTTTTCTGTGTAAAAGTATTGGTTCAACAATACAGTGCAACCAATTCGGGACAAGTTCGATATTGGTATTTCTAACTTTTTAAATGATACGAGTTTTTTGTCGTTGTTCATTAAGCCTAATAATGGCTCCTGAAGAGGTTTGAAAGTTACGTCTATAAAATGTATTCAAGATACCGAGACAATATGAAACCATTTTTATTGAAATACTTTTTAATTGGGAATATTTATTACTTATGTTAAATAAGTATGCCCCCTCCTGTTGTGCAGATTTGTGCTTAAACAAATACGTATGATTTTCAATATTAATAGTATGATTATATTTACCTTTTTTCGAAGACAAGTATTCTTTTCAGTGTAGTTTACAAAACGAAACTATATCAGACGGCGAGACTGTGAATTGCTCCAGTTCGTGTCGTGGAAGCGTTTTCTCAGTCATTATATTTATTTCAATAGTCTGCAAAGAGTTCTTCAGATCCCTTTGATTTAGTTAGGATATCAATTTTAGAAAGGTCAGCACGTGCTTAGGAATAATCTCCTTCCACGCACTGTTTTCAAGTATACAGAAACTGGATTTTCACAAATAATTCCTGTATTTTCTAACTTTTTCGTATGTTTTTGAAAAACGGAAGGTTCAGAACTGAACGTCAGTCGGATGGACAGGTACAAGTTGCCGGGATAAATCCCAGCTCCCAATGATACCGATTGTTAGCTTTTTGCAATCACGTCTGGAAGCTTACATTTATCATTTTACAAAGAATGATACAATTATTGTTGTCTTATTATTTTACCTCTTTTAATACAACTACCTGCTTAACACGTGTTACAAGCTGTTTAGGAAGTACATTATAACGATTTAAACCGTTCTAACAATACTACATCGTAAGGTAAAAATATTTTCTTTCGTATTTACTTACTGATCATAAGTTTTTTGTTTTTTTTTACAAGTTACAGATTTCGTAGCAGGGCCGTACCGATCGTTGATGGCTCTGCTCCCCTCCTTAAAAATTCCATCTACCCTTGCCTTCAAAGATGCAAACTCGCGAGCGCCCTGTGAGGGCGCACCACTCGCACTACCCTTGGTACGGCCATGTTTTAAAACAGAAACGACGTTTCGATCATTCTCGAGTTCACAGATTTTAACGGTAAAGAAGGTTTTTATATTTAAATTAACATTCAACAATCTAAAGCTTATGTTATTGTAAAAGCTGTAACTTGCCAACAAATAAGGTGAAAATGTTTTCGACATTGTTAAATTGTTGCTTTGTTGATGTAAATATATTTGGTTCTGGGAGAGAATGATTTCTAATTCCAGTTGGATAAGAACCTTTTTTTTTTTATCCATTCTATTCAATTGATATTAGAATCTTTGCTCTAGTGATCTGTCGAATCAGTTTAAAGATTTCTATATTTCTGTTTTTAACCAGAGCTATGATCAACCTCTTTTGTAAGTAGCCGGTTCGTATGAGTCGAGCCAGAACACGCTGTACACTCGATTTAGTTTTACGTCACTGTCTGGAACACTTACTTCATTTTTCTTTCTCAGACTTTTCACGAATTATTACAAAATGCTGCTTTTAACCACTTAAAATCAGTCACGTGTTCATACTAAACATCAACATATTTAAGCAACTTAGACATAAATCAAGACAGATATGTATATATTGAAATATATTATTAATGTACATACCCTATTGTTTGACTGAAATGTCTCTAACAATATCATTGTTTTACAAGTATTCAGTGCAAGAGGTCATGACCAACGAGTATATGGCTTTAAAAGCTTTTCTTTTTTTCTTTAAGTTATGATTTGTTCATTCATGTGTACAAGTTGTTGTTATAGTGTTGTTTAAAGTTGCAATATTTTATCTACGAATTGTCTTAGACCATGAAAGGAGTGTTGTCTGTATATAAAATTAAATGAAAAAAGCTGACACCATTTTTGGTCAGAGTTACGTTCAAAAATCTCCTTCTATGTAACACTTAAATAATAAATATTTTTTATGTAATAAATTATGGTTATTTGGTATGTTTTAAAAGAGTTATTTCTTTTACTGACTTGAAAAATTCGAACGATAATAGGTCAATATCGTTGACCTCTTCTCCCCCTAGGAACTGAAATAAACACATATAAGTCACATTATTTAATAGTCACTTAGTGACATAAAAAAAAATTGTGATAAGATATGCGAGTGCTGACTGTATTGCGTTTAGTATAGACTCGTTATTCATTACATTAGATAATTATTGCGGTAACTCTGACTGCATTGTGTTTAGTATAGACTCGTTATTCATTGCATTAAATAATTATTGCGGTAACTCTGACTGTATTGAGTTTAGTATAGACTCGTTATTCATTGCATTAAATAATTATTGCGGTAACTCTGACTGCATTGTGTTTAGTATAGACTCGTTATTCATTACATTAGATAATTATTGCGGTAACTCTGACTGCATTGTGTTTAGTATAGACTCGTTATTCATTGCATTAAATAATTAACTCTGACTGTATTGAGTTTAGTATAGACTCGTTATGCATTGCATTAAATAATTATTGCGGTAACTCTGACTGTATTGCGTTTAGTTTAGACTCGTTATTCATTGCATTAGATAATTATTGCGGTAACTCTGACTGTATTGCGTTTAGTATAGTCTCGTTATTCATTGCATTAGATAATTATTGCGGTAACTTTGACTGTATTGCGTTTAGTATAGACTCGTTATTCATTGCATTAGATAATTATTGCGGTAACTCTGACTGTATTGCGTTTAGTATAGACTCGTTATTCATTACATTAGATAATTATTGCGGTAACTCTGACTGTATTGCGTTTAGTATAGACTCGTTATTCATTGCATTAAATAATTATTGCAGTTACTTTGTTTTTTTTCCTGAATTTTTTCGCGGCTCCCAAGGATACTTTCTGCTCTCCCTCCCTCCTTCCCTGGCGGACGGGTCTTCTAGTTTGATAACCACCTACACATTAAGCAGATTTAGGCTTAAACCGTACTCAAACACGATTATGAATTTGTTAAATTAGGTAATCATAGGTGTGAACACCTGAGCTACAGTGTTATAAGTTTAGGGGAAGCGCATGCTAAGTTCCCCGTATTTTTTTTCTTGTGACAACCTTTGGTTATAAATGTCGTAACTTTTAAAGATATGTTGAAAAGTGAGTACTGACTTAACTAGCAGATGCCCGTCGAAACAATTCAACGGTAATTTACCTAAAAATAGTGATGAATGAATAAATAGTGCAGTCAACTCAATCCTTTGGATCAGAACGTATATACAATATGATTGTCTAGTGGGCCGTTTATAACCGTCTTTTCGTTCCATGTGTTATTTGCAATAAGGAAAATTGTAATGCGTTTGTTTATAAGCAAAGGAAACTAACTGCAATGCATTGTTGACAAAACTGTTTGAGTGTATCCAGCACAATAGAGCGCTCAGGTTCGCTAAGTAACCGCGGGTTTTGTTTTTGTTTTCCACTGGATACTACAGTTTCTTGCTATTTTCTGAGCGCAAGGAGAGATCGCTACTGAAGTTAGCGCTTTTTAACAGTTTTCATTTTTATAAGATGTATCAAAGGAAGATATTCAATTCAAATGATGTAATCGACATGGTACACTAAAATCACGCAGGTATATAATACCGACATGAAAAATAAAATGAAATATATATAAATCGAAGAAAACAGATATATGCTTAAGGGCGTTTTTCCCGTCCATACTCCTATATCTTCGAAACATCTTTCAACTGGTACGGATGAAATCCCCCCCCCCCGTGAAATTCCCTCAGAAAAAGAAAGATTTTTGTTCTTAATTTTTTTCTTTCTTTCTCAGATTGACCGTTCAGCACATACGGAGACTGAGGAATCGCAAAAAAATGAATAACCTTTCTGTAATCTGCTCTTGAAAAGAAGCATTTTGATATATAATATTCTTTTACTATTAATTGTTCAAGAGATTCAGAGCATGACAGACAAACAGATATTTGGCTATTATATATAGAGATAAAAGATTGTGTTATACTTAAAACGTGGTTTTGTGTTCAGCCTAGTCGCGTACACTTTTTTTTTTTAAATTACTTCAAACTTGAAGCCCGCAAGTTTTGTGTTACTTTGGTGCATAGTTTTGGAAAAAAAACAATATTAGTGATTTTATATCAGACTCAGATAATGAAGTTTTCCATTTTCAGTCCTTCTCTGATTTGTTATCTAATTTTCATGTAACTTTGTTACTTAGTTTGATAAATCAAACCATTTGCTTTATTTTACGACAAGTTTGAATGGATATATATATATATAAATATAATTCTCTAGTAATCACCGTTAAGCTGTAAAATTACCTTTTTATATTACCAAGGGCACAGTCTTGATATTTGCCAGACGCCTGTCGTTCTTGATCTCATTAGCAAGAAACAGAACAACGTTCGTGCAAAATTTTCGAAATTTAACTGTCTGGTATTTGGTAGTTTCTATATTTGCGATCCTCCCATGTGATAAAAAAAGCTTTCAAACGAGTGTCAGATAACCAGAGGGCTCCAACCTTATGTTGAAATATTATATCATCTCTATTGGTAATTTTAGCTCGTACCCAAAGATGATCAGTAATATGGAGAACTGTGGCGCCATGGTCAAATGTTAAATCATGTATACCAGTTTTCTTATTGAAGATCTACGAAGTTAGTAGAACAATATAATTAAATAATTTGGTCGCTGGATATTTATCAGAATAACATAACGTAAAAACATTAGTCTTTGTGATAAAATAGTAGTTCTCCTCATTGTACGGCAATGGTCTTGTCCAAGTCCGATAAATGAATTTTCGTACTTGCCACCAGATGGCAGTATTTAGTAGAATTTTTAGTTATTTGAATTATGATTGCATGTTTTGTAAGTGACACTGATGAACAACACTACATTATTTAGTTGTTGATTTCTTTTATTCGCCGAAACGTGAATTTCGGTGAAGATGACGTAGAGACCTTAACCGTTGTTTGATTCGCTACTTCTGCTGCAATAGACTAGCTTTGCTGAATTAACAACTAAATAAATAACTAAATAAATAAATCCGTTGAATGATAATGGATAATCAATTGCGACAGTTTGTGATATGTTGTCCAAACACCTAAAATATTTTGGGTTATTAGTGGTGAGTAAAAACTATACATCAAAACCAAAGAAGAAGAAGAACAACAACAACAACAAAAACCACATTATTTTTAAACTACCTTAAGTTAATATGTGATTGTTTTTATATGTTTATTACTTCTTTGTTAAATATTATAGATACATAAATGTGTTTTTAGCGGTTGTTTTGAATAGTAGAAAGTTTTGTTCTTGTTTTAAGATGTTGTATTCCCTGAGTAAGAATAAATGTTAGTTTTTGTTTACTTCGTTATTCGTGTTTTATTACTAGTAATAGAACGTTGAGCAAAATACAACAGCGATAATTAGAAATTAAGATTGATACCTATTATAAAGCCCCTAGTGGGACAGCTGTAAGTCTGCAAACTTATAACGCTAGAAACCGGGTTTCGATACCCGTAATAGGCACCAGCAGATACCCTGTTGTGTAGCTTTGTGCTTAACCAGAAACAAACAATCACCTATAATAAAGTAATTTTTAAAATCTAATCTTTTGATAGGGAAGTTCCGAATTTTTACGAGTGATGCCTATTGTTATTTAAGATATATTTTAATAAGGATGACAATGAATATTTATTAACCAAATCTATGATTTATTAACCCTGCACTGAAGAGTGTTGAATTAGAACATAACCATAAAGTACAACGAAAACAGTTTAATATTTTTACTCTCTTGGATTTATCAACTAGCCGTTAATTAAAAAAACAAACGTCCATCAGCTGGTACACTGATTGACCAGTGTTCTGGAATATATTCAGTTATCTGACAAACAAGAGATGAGTTACAGAAAGATAAGCAGATAAAGAAACATTTATCTTATATATAGTATATATACAAAGAAGTAAAATAAAGCAATGATATGTGCGCTACAAAGTCTGACACGATTTCTTGGTCCTTGACTTAAAACCTTATATAGACTGCGATTTTTTAATCTTTACCTCTACCGGACTTCAGAAGAAACATTCGAATATCCCATAGCTGTGAATCGGTCCAATAAAAATTAAGACAATTCTCTTATCTACTGATTCTTACTATTGCCAATATTATATAAAAATAAACATAATGATAAAGCGGAACAAGTTACAGTTCACAACCAATTAAAGGTTATCTGTTTATTGCTGGGACCAATCAAATAGGAACACCTGGCGATGGTTGTAATGCTATAATAAAATGTACAACATTTCTAATCCACAAAGAAATAAATAATCCACTTTTAACCTACAATAAATTTATCCTTTTCACCATCCTTACTGTCTCGTCGAGTTAATGCTATCCGCCATTTTGACCTCTCTCTTGCGGTTCCCCGATTGGATAGCAGTAGATCTACGGACTTACAGCTTAAATCCGGGGTTTGATTCCCCGCGGTGGACACAGGAGATAGCCCAATATGGCTTTGGTCTAGAACAAATACACACACACACTCTTCCTTGTGTATTTTGTTCTCCCTCTGTCGGCAAAAATATTCTTTATTTTGGGAATGCTTGGTGGAAACCAGAAAAATGCAGCCATACTTGACGGTTATACATTTAAACGGACAACACAAGAGATGTGTGCTACAACTCGTGACAAAATTTCTGGTTTCCAGACTTTGAACCTCATAGAGCTGGCTGCTAGAACTTATAAAGGACAAGACAAAATAAAAACGTTACAATTCCTGATATAATTAATGCACGAATCCTAGACCTTGCATTTTAGCTATCATTTCACTTCTCGACAATTTCTTTCTTTGGTAGAAAACACGAAACTTACAACGGTGCAATTTTTATGGTTTCAAATCCTGTTGGAAACACTTTGTAACCCATACCAGATATCCACAGAACCAAAATAAACCATTCACGAGGGATATTTGTTTAAGGTCCGTTAATTACGCACTCTAAGTCATTGTGGTGCTAAATCTTACTGTATAGATAAAACCGCCTTCATACTTCGCGTGCCCGGCATGGCCAGGTGGATAAGGCACTCGACTCGCAATCTGAGGGTCGTGGGTTCCAATCCCCG